GTGCGCTGCAGCAGGCCACCCCCCCCCCCCCCCCTCTATAAGAGAAAGCTTGTAATTGTTTTGTTTCCCATACCTGTTAAAGGTCCAATGTACTGTGAATCCCTTAGACCTTCCTAATTTAATAACATGGATATAAAAATATTGGCTATAATCCTGACTAGATGTTTGAATTCAGTTATTTCTACAAATGTAAGCTTGAACCAAACTGGGATTATCATGGGGTGATCCAGAAACCTAAACACTTGCAGCACTTTCACTAACCTTCAAATCACAACCTCCTCCTCTACCCCCATAATTGTTCTGACTTTGGTTACCCACAAAGTCATGGGGGTTGATTTAATATAGCAAATAGGCTGTTCATTTTTCAAAGGAATTAACAGCAATGTCCATTCAGGTATTCTGATGGTGGCCACTGGCCACTGTCAGAATACAGTGAGAACATCCAGGGATTCATCTATCCATGCTCAGAAGCAATGATTAAGGAGTCTGTTATATTTTCTTTGTTCAGCCTGCAGGTTGAATGAAGAAAATCTAAGCGTGTATACGCAGCTTTAGGGGAAATCTCTACTGCAAAGTGCAAATTTCCTTGCAAAGTGAACAGCCTATTGGCCTAGTAAATCAACCCTTTGGACTCCTCTGAATGGCCTTATGTGACCTAGTTTTCTTAAACCTGCATGTAAAGTGGCACTCCTGTAGAATGCACTCCCACAAAAGTAACTTACAATTTCCAACTGGCTCTGTTACTGTTGTAAAAACGTGAGCTACCCAATCCATACCAGGCACTTATCCAGATATCCAGGAAGGAAGGGAGGCAGTAAGTCTTCCCCCTTCCTAAACCATAGCAGCCACATGCACCTATATAATACAGCTAGTTATTTATTCATAAAAAAATGGATCAAATAAACACTCACACACCATGACAAAGTCCTTTATTAAAAAAAAGAAATAAACTGTGCCCCCCTCCCCAATGTAAGTCCCATGCCAGTAATGATGAATGACACCTTGATGGCCCAACAGGCACAACTACCATCTTCCCCCTTCAATGCTTCCATCACACATAACAGTTCTCTGGTTGAATGTCAACAAGCCTGCCAAGTATCCTGGGTGACTTCATTGACCACGTTTGGTTCAAATCCTTTACCAAAAATGTTTTTTTCAACGGTGTCTGTGTGTTTGTTTACTATTAAGTTTTTATAGAAAACAAGTAACCAGGGCTACTAAGAGACCCTTATTTTAAAGGGAGTTTCTATATTTTGAGATGCTTCCCCCACAAAGCCCCCACATGCACAGGGCCAGAGATGTGGGGATGAGATCTGCTGTGAATTATGATGAGCGATGCATGACAACCCACTAACAGGAACACAATGACCTGCACATGAAGATCCTCTCCCACTAGATTCCCAGTTTCTCAGTTCTCAGCAACTGAAAGCTCCGCAGTGCTTCTAGAATGTAAACAGCAGTGCAAGGAAAACGTGTCTGATGTTTTTGACCAAACATGGTCATGACCATTTTTGGTCAATTACATCAGCCAGCATACCCACTGACTTGTTTGCTTTGTGAAACAAGCCAGAGGGCGAAACTAGAAATCATTCACTTTTACTAGTATCTAGTATCTATTTTACTAGTAGTATCTATTTTACTAGTACTAGTACTACCACCACTTAATGAATAGCTTTCGGCAGCAATAGATGCCAGAGGTTTGTGTGGATGAACCAGCCACTTCTGGCTATTTAGTTTGAACTTACCATTGACCAAAACCCAAAGCACATCCCTAACATTATTTACTGGGTTTTCTGCTAGACATATGATAACATAACACATTAAAATATTGCACATCTGTGAGATGCTATTTCACACAGCAAAGTTCCTCTATGAAAAACTTGAATGGCAGAATTTTAAAACTATGCAAAAAAGGAAACGCTTTGAACTTAGACTGATGATTCTGTTTGACATTTTATTTGACATGAATGATAATTATACATAGTGGCCAAGAGTCACTGGGAGCAGTACAGAGATTATATTATTATGTAATAACAAAATGAGACCAGCTTCACATCTGTGGGGTCTATTCACGAAGCAGCCGAAGGATCTAGCCGTAGCTTCGGCCGATCCTTCGGCTAGCCTCGGCCCATGGACCCCTTCGGTTCAGTAGAACCGAAGGGCTGCTGTACGGGCTATTCACTATAGCCTGTACAGCTCCCGAAGTTGGCTGGGCGGCTCAGTGGAGCCGAAGGCATATGTTGTCAGAAACCGACCGACAGCCTGCTTCTGACAGCAGGGCGGAGCCAGCCGTGATCTTACGGCTGGCTCCGGCCACTTGCAGAGAGATCAGCGTCCCGGGTTACCAGCTAACCAGGGACACTGATCTCCAGACAGCCTAACTCTCCCAGGCGCTCCGGGAGTCTCCCGTTCCCGGCTGCCCAGGAGAGAAACACTGCGTTTTCTTTTTTATTCTGACACGGAGCCGTTGGCTGGCGTCAGAAAAAAAAATTTCACCATAGGAATGCCTTGTCAGATTCCTATTGACTATTTCAATTTGCAATAGCCAAAACTAGCTATTGCACCCGCCCACTGCTGCAGTTCTCCATCAGGTCCCACTAGTGATTGACAGCAGCAGAGGGCGGGTGCAATAGCTAATTCCTATTGGCTATTGCAAATTGAAATAGCCAATAGGAATCTAGCAATGCATTCCTATGGCAAAAATGTGTTTGTTTTTTTTTACGGCAGCAGAACCACCGGCTAATAGAAAACAGTTGGGCGGAGCCAGCTGTCACAGCTAGCTCTGCACAATCGTTTTCTATTTATTTTTTTGTACTTTTTAAACTATTTTTCTGTTCTGCTCGGTCCCACAGAGGGACTGAGTAGAACAGCCGAGCCGAATGCCGCTCAGCGGCAATCGGCTATTCACTCACTGCTGTTCGGCATCTATAAGAATAGACCGAACAGCAGCGAGTAGTCTGCCGGATCGGCTCAGTCGAACTCCTTCTGCACTTCGGGTCAGCCAAACATGCTGAGCATGTTCAGCCGACCCGAAACCATGCAAAGCCACACGATGTACGGCTGATTTCAGCCGATATACGGCTGAAATCAGCCGTACCAGCCTGAAGTGAATAGCCGAACAGCGTTCGGCTCACTACGCTTCAGGTCGGCCATTTACTCAGCTGCCTACGGCAGCTTAGTGAATAGACCCCTGTGATTCCATCCTCTTCATACCTGAGGCAACTGTTCACTCTTTTTCCTTGTTTCATACAAACAGTCTGTCATTGCGTAAAGATGCAGATAATGCCCGCTATAAAGGCATGAAACATATTAAAGACAGGTGTGTGTAGCCCCTGTTCAAAATGACCAGTGTGTATTTGCTAAGTAAACTGCTGTCTGGAATCAGTTCAGTAGAGAGGCCAAGATTGAGCCAGCTGTGTCCTAAGGAGGAAAAGGCCGAGCTATGTAACAAATAGCCAGGAGACAGACATTGTTGATCACTGTTATGCTAAACAACCCATGGGAGTGCAAAACATTGTGTTTTTTTGCTGTTTGGAAAATTTTAAGTGGTCACCCTAAACCACATTCTGCTGACTGGTTCCTTGTGAAACTCTCCATATGAAGCTGAATCTCACAATATGTATAACACACTTGGGGGATCTATTTATAAACCATTTGCAGAGCCATTCGTCCCCTGTGAATCTTTGTGAACATTCATTCTATGCCAATAGAGGTGAAAACAAATGTTCTTCGTAGATTTTTATGTCAGGTTGAATGTAATGTAATATCACATTATGGACATTAGATGTAGCCGATGAGCATAGGAAATAAATACATAATTTCCTATGCTCCCCAGATCCATCATCTTGGCCAGATGGAGGTGAAGAGCATAGGAAATAATTACTTTCATATTCTCCTTGGCACCATCTAGTGTGAATAACGCTATATTACATTACATTTAACCTGAAAAAGAAGATAAAGAACAATTATTTTTTGCTTCATTCACACAAGAGGAATATTCACAGAGATTCACAGGGCCTATGACTCTGTAAATTGTTTTCTCAATCTCTTCTAACTAATGAATGTCATCCTCATTGTAGAATTTTTTTTAATTTTTGTTGAACTGTGTATCAGGCATTCCTTGGTCTCATATAAAATATGATCTTGATTTTAAAAAAAAGGCTTTACATTTTAACAGGGTTATTCACAAAGGTTGAGGAGTTTGGAGAAGGCAGGAGAAGTGAACAATCTCAGACAACATAGCTGAACTGGAGAATTTTTCCAAATCAGCTGTTTTGGCCTAGATTGTTCTCTTCTACTGCCTACTCCAAACTCTTCACTCTTTTGTGAATAACCTAACCTCTAAATATTCATATTCACATCAATAAAATGTGGCAAAAAATGAAATGTTTATACTAATTACTTTTTTTAAAGCTTTCTTGATGTCCTTATTCCTCAGACTATATATAATAGGGTTCATCAAAGGGGTCCCCACTGTGTACAAAAGGGACAGAGCCTTAGCTAGGTGAGATGATTGTCCCCTGGTTGGCAGAGTATAGACAGTGAAAAGAGTTCCATAAAATATGGAGACCACAGTTAGATGAGAAATGCATGTAGAGAAGACCTTCTGCCTATCTATATTAGATGGAATTCGTGTTACGGTTATAATAATGTGAATATAGGATGCTAAAATAACTAAGCAAGGAACAATGATCACAGGGACACTTAGTAAGATTACTTCGATCTGAACAATGTAGGTTTCTGAACAGGAAAGTTCAAGTAGTGGAGCAAGATCACAGAAAAAATGATCAATGATATTGGATCCACAAAATTGTAAATTAGATATGGTCAAAATGTCAATCAGTATAAGAGAAAAACTTAATACCCAAGAGACAGCTGCTAACTTCAAACTAAAAGAAATTTTCATTATGGAACCATAATGCAATGGGTCACAGATGGCCAAATAGCGGTCGTAGGACATTACCATGAGAAGAAAACACTCCAATGTTTCTGAAGCACTGAAAAAATACAACTGAGTGATGCAGCCCATAAATGTGATTGTCCCATGTATATTGACTATAGTATGAAGCATGTTTGGCACAATATCTGTGGATAACAGAATATCATTCATAGAGAGCTGGGTGAGGAAGATGTACATGGGACATTGAAGGTTCTGGCAGTAGGACACCAGCACGATGATCAGAAGATTTCCACATATAGTAAGGCAGTAGATCAAAAGAAGGAGGAAGAAGAGAAAATTCCTAATGCTTTTGTCATTTTGAAATCCCAGGAGGATAAATTCTGATGTTACATTGGTCTCCTGCATTGATTAGAAAAAGTAGTACAAATATCAAAGAACATAATTTCCCAAATGATATTTAATAGCAGATTGATAGCAGAAGAAATACATCATATTGGCCTCAATATGTTCTACCTCACCTAACTGTACCTAAACCCAAGAGCAAAAATGTAATATGTTGCAGCTGACCAGTCCTTACAAGCAGGGCTGGATTAAGAGCAACATGGGCCTGGTGCTGTTGGTCATATGGGAAGCAGCTGACATGGCTCTCTAATCAGGCGGTCACTCGCTCCTCGCTGGGGCTTTGCGGGCGGCCTGATTATAGAGCCACCAGCGCTTCTGCCTGATTGTGTTCAGCTCGGCCGGCCTGGATTGCCATCAGTCATACTAAGATGATCCGGGCCTATTTTCAGTGGTGGGCCTGGAGTAGCCAGTAGCTCTATGTTAATCTGGCCCTGCTTACAAGTGGTGGCTGCATTCGTTTTCTCTTTTTCAGAGTTTTTTTTCACCTGGTGATCCTACAAGTAACACATTTCCTGTCCTAGGGTGACAAAGTTTGCTCACCATACTGTATCTATGGAGGAGAAGTTTTGTCATCCTAAAACAGGACTTCAGAACATCTCCCCTCTCTTCTCAATAACATAGGATGAATTGTTCTGTAATTCTCAGAAGTGAACTAGGCAGGGTTGATAATAATTCTTGAGACAACATTGCAAAGAGCACAGGAAGTTAGAAGCTCACTGCATTTCTCCCAAGACCAACAGGCATTTTTTGGAAGTAAGATCCCAGATATAAACACATCTTTCTTTTGCTGACTTAACTGAAGATGTCCACATTTTTATGAAATGGTTAGGCATTCTTTTGTGAAGTGCTCCTGAAAGTGTGTCCTTAAAAATAAACTGTTATGCAGATAATAAAAAACACATGTGCATACATGTAGTATTCAAGTGTGTTGTCACAAGTGCACCATATATGACTACAATCACCTGATGCATGTGAAATACTGAGTGCAGTACTATTTTTCTCATGTTGCTAAGGGTCCCTGTGTGGCTCTTTGGGAGGGACAGGGGCTGAAAGGCTTTGAGGGAGATAGGGTGGCTAAAGTACTCTTTGGGGCTTTGAGGGGAAGAGGGGAGCTCTGAGGCTAAGTGGCTCCTCCCACTCTATGTGTACTTACCGTTGCAATTTCCTTCTCTACACAGCACCCAATTGGGAATGAAGGTAGCTTGTCCTTCTTTCCATCTCTGGTTATGTGGTATGTCACATGACAAGGGGAGATAGAAGAACGGGCAGTCCACATTCACTCCCAGTAGGCACCCATACTGAGAAGGATTTTTTTTTCAGCAGGCTCCCCCTCTGACTGCTCTCTTCAGCCCACAGTAGGCTGTAACTGGGGGGAGGTGAGAGCATAATTCTTCCTCCAGCAGCTATCGTGGCCCTTGCTTTGTCTGATAGGAGTAATTCTGCCATCACTCATATCAATCAGGCAGCCAGTGAATGGAGCAACTGCAAGTCCTTGCCTTCTCCCCACACACATAAACACTGCTCACCTCCTGCCCTCCAATCCTCAGCCTAGCTCTGTTTAATAACACCATAGTTTGGTGATGCAGGGAATATCCAATGGTATTAAAGTGACATTAAACCCTCAGATTTTTTAACATAAAACAATACTGTAATGTGCGCCTTACTGTAATCCATGGTTGTTTCCCTTCTCTTTGCTGCTCTTCCTTTTAAATCCTCATGTCTTCTCATGCTGGGGAGAATTTCCCTTTTCAGCTCATGGCCTCTTCTTCTAGTGCTGGCTCAGGTTACAAACCTATACAGACCTATACACAGACACCATATATCCATTCCTGAGACAAGGCAGTCTGCTGCAAAACAGAAGTTCTGCCCAGCATGAGAAGACATGAGGATTTAAAAGGAAGAGCAGCAAAGAGAAGGGAAACAACCATGGATTACAGTAAGGCGCACATTACAGTATTGTTTTATGTTAAACAATCTGAGGGTTTAATGTCACTTTAAGGTATCAGGGAAAATCCCCATTGGAGCGAATTAAACCATGTTTTATAGGGTTTTAGCCTTCTTCTAGATCAAGGCTTGGGGCTCTGTGGGTACAGGTTTTGAATTTATTTATTTTGGTTGGACTCAGTGAACATGTCTTTTGCAGTCTGGCTAGCTATGTAACTATGTGACTATGGATGCCTGCTATAAACACAGATTCACTTTATTCACTACGTGAACATTCACTTTGCATAGGTAACAGTGCTGCTCTATTAATAAATGAACCCTCATTTTTCCTGGAGGATGTACCCGTACCTAAATTCTATGTAATAAAACATAAAGAATGTACTTACAGCAGAAATGTCCATAATGTTGGCATCTGTGGATTTCCCTGTGTGGACAGCTGGAATGTTTGTGATTAGATTTTTGTTCTACAGTCATTAAGAAAGAATGGAAATTGTTCATGACCATTGTAAGCACCCCTCTAAAGGTCAAATGGTTTGTCTCAACCCTCCATATGACATTTCTGCTTGACAGCTTTGTCTGTTGAAGAAAGTTGAGGAAAACGGACTTACTGGCAGGATCAACAGATAAAACTATGTTACAGAAGGGACTCAAAGACTTCTGTTTTAATGCTAGAGACAGACTGCATCACATGTCATCAATGCCATTTTTTTTGCCATAAGTTAAATCTTTATGGGGGAAACAAATCACTTGTATTATTATTATACAGGATCTATATAGCGCCAACAGTTTGTGCAGCTCTTTACAATATAAGGAAGACATTACAATCACAATACAATTCAAGACAAAATGGTAAGGAGGGCCCTGCCCCTGAGGGCTTACAATCTAAAAGGGAGGGGGAAGTGATACATGAGGAGGTAGCTGTGTGGGGATGAATTGTTTGAGAACGTGATGGTTGAGTGGTTAGGTTGAGGTGGGATAGGCTTCCCTGAAGAGATGAGTCTTGTACATCAACTCTTTTTAGGATAGGAGGAGAGCAATGTTAAAACCTCTATCTCTGTGCCTCTGTTGAAGAGGAATTTTCTCACTTTCCTTTCCGAGGACTGTACAGAAAGCGAGGAGGATTCTCCCTATTAGAAAGACAGAGACCAAAAAAAACAACAATCTTCTAACAATCACTATTTCATTTAAAAAAAATCAGTAACTTCCACTTACATTTATGGCCCTCACACCACTATAGTTATTCCATTTACACCCTGTACGTTATTGCCTTGCTTCTAATTTTCATTTTTTTGGGGGTTCCAGCCTCATGTTCCTTATATGGAGAACATTCTTCATGTAAGAAATTAATCACATGTCCACCTTGCATACCTCCAAGATGACCACTGATTATTGTGCTGGTAGAAGCAGATGAAAATGTTGCTTTGTTTTGCTCGTTTGAATTTACTGCCTAACCTATTATATTTATAAACCTTCTGCATTGAAATTGGCATATGCAGTATGCCTTTGGGGAAATGTCTCCACTGATGGTTTGTCCTTTGGAGAGAAGTTAAAATAGTATGAGAGGAAAAATTGACTAATTAGTTTTTTTCACACTTAAATATAAGAGCAAATGGAAATTAAAAAAAACAACCAAACAAAAAAATATATATATGGGAATACATATATCTATATAGATCTATATGTGCATATGGGACTGGGCACACTCACAAAAATAGGGTATATGACCCCCCCTTACATACACACCACAGCCAAAATAACCAAAAAACAACAGTGAAGATGAGAAGAAAGATTGATGTGCTCTGCGGGGTGTATGGTGGGTTCTGCGGGGTGTATGGAAGGCTCTGCGGGGTGTATGGTGGGCTCTGCAGGGTCTCAGGTGGGCTCTGCAGGGTCACCCTCAGGTGGGCTGTACAGGGTCTCTGGTATGTGTGGGGTCTCAAGTGGGCACTGTGGGGTCTATGGGGGGCTCTGTGGGGTCTCAGGTGGGGCCTGTGGGGTCTCAGATTGGCTCTTTGGGGGTCTCCAGTGGGCTCTGTGGGCTCTGCAGGGTCACCCTCAGGTGGGCTGTACAGGGTCTCTGGTATGTGTGGGGTCTCAAGTGGGCACTGTGGGGTCTATGGGGGGCTCTGTGGGGTCTCAGGTGGGGCCTGTGGGGTCTCAGATTGGCTCTTTGGGGGTCTCCAGTGGGCTCTGTGGGGTCCATCCCAGATAGCAAGGATAACTTGTCACAAACTTGTAGCAGGGTTAAATTGTAATTCTTGTTAACGTGCTGCACACATTCCTGACAGGTTGTAGACTTGCAGAACACTCGCAGCACAAGTTCTAGGCGACACTTTTTGAATTTGTAGCAAATTTGCTTGGCAAGTGTGCAGCACTTTTGCAAAGCTCGCTGGTCTGGAGACTTGCAATGCAGACTTGCTGTAATTGTGCAACAAAATTGTGAAGCTCGGCAAGTCTGCAATAGTTTAGCAAGTCATTTTCAAACTTGCAGCTCAATTGCTTGCTATCTGGGATGGTGGGTTCTGCAGGGTCTATGGTGGGCTTTTTAGGGTCACTCTCAGGTGGGCTGTGTGGAGTCTCAGGTTGGCTGTGCAGGGTCTCTGGTATGTGCAGGGTCTATGGTGGGCTCTACAGAATCTCAGGTGGGCACTGTAGGGTCTCTTGTGGGCTGTGCGGGGTCTCAGGTGGGCTCTGCTGGGTCTTTGGTTGACTCTCCAGGGTTTCAGGTGGGCTCTGCAGGGTTACTCTCAGGTGGGCTGTGTGGGGTTTTAGTTGGGCTCTGCCGGGTCTTTAGTATGTGCAGGGTCTATGGTGGGCTATGCAGCAGTGAGCAGTGGAGTGATCTGTTCTTCGGGTCTGATGTCAAACCCAGCAGAGTTGAAGAGAAGGAGATGGCACTGGCACCATCACGGGAACGTGTTCTGAAGGTAGGTACTTTTTGGGGGGGCGATTTGGGGGGCCCCCAGCCAAAATTTTGCTATGGGGACCTGTGATTTTTAGTTATGCCCCTGCTTGTACCTCTTTTCACTGGTCTCAAGAGTATGTATTGGCCTCTTGCA